ATATCATGGGCTGGATGTTACCGTCGGAGCCATAAGTACTGGTACATGTACTTCCTCAAATTTAAATGTGCCGCCTCAAGTTGTTTACATCCAACCAGATTTTTGCAATAAATTCCTGTTGCAGTGTCAGATGTTTGCACAGGACTAGAATATGCGACAAAGACAAGGCAGTTGTCCAAGATATTACCCAGGATTTCTCGATGCTGAGAGAATAGGACATTACAACATGTTGGGCGAGCACTCTGAGTCTTCATCCCTGATATAATTCATGCAATCTTACACACTCAGTGGTTCTACTTAGAATATTTTGTGATGCCAATGATGTACTTGAATTTATCTAGGAAAGACGCCCACTGTTCGCGTTGGCGGGTATTCCTGAGGTGGACCGAAACACGCCTCATGGCATACAAATGAGCGCTGGTGGGCGAAATTTACGCGATTTCGCAAACCAGGGCGTGTATTGTGTTGAATAAGTGAGTTCATAATATTTGGTGACGAGATATAAGCACGGATGAGCCCATTCAAGGTGAGAAAAGGCAAGATCAGGGCGATGTCACAGCGTTACTGTTAGCTGCCAGTCACGCTGTTAGCTGCCAATCAACGATATCTGTTCCAGTTAGCCAATTTTAAAAATTATGAAGAGACAGAAACATTCGGAAATCTTTTTAGAGTGTACTAAAATATTCTCAGCATTTACAGGGACGAAAAGCGAAATGGTGGCAGCTAACACACAGCCACTGGCAGGTAACAACCCAGCTGATCCGGACAACCATTGTGAACAATCAGTTCCCACATCGATACCGTGCCGATTGTTGTGCCAATCGCCGGAGACGTCTGGTGTCAACGGTGATGAGACAGCCGCCGCCGTGTAACGTACTCTCATCAATTCCCTTGCCTTTACTCTCCGAGGAATCCTCGCAGCTGAGGTATTAATCATGTCTGTCTCCCCTGGTTAATATAATTCACTCAGATAATAGCCCCCATGTGCTATTACATTTATTTACATCAAAGCCCAATCAAAGCTGTGTCGAGAATATCACAATTCCGGCACGGTTTGGGCTATCCGACAGCCAGTGCTGTCGCAAATAATCTGAAACTTTTACGGAAGATGTATTTCATATATAGGCATCCATGTCACCTTGAGACTAAACTTTTTATTCAACAAAACTAATACATTTTCAAAAACTTTACTGGTGTCAATTCCGGCAGGGTTTGCACAACCAATATTGCCGCAAAAAATTGAAACTTTCAAGAGAGATGTATTAAATATCTAGGCATCCAGAAGAAATATTTATTTTACGAAATCAGTACAGTTTACACTTGCATGGACGGCCCCGCTTGGGCAGCGGCTTCGCATTGAGCTTCAAATAGCTGCGCCTGCCGAGAAATCACCTGCACCTCGGACATCCAAGCCTTGATGTTCTTCCCTTTAGTTGGGTGATTGCAGGTGCAGAGGCTCTGTCCACCCGAGCCCTTGCAGATGAGACGACGATCACAGGGCACAAGCACACAATGTGCGCAACATCTGGGATTAGACTTGGATTCTCCGGTTGAGGGCTTTGAGGCACCTGGAAGAAGAGATTGGTGGTGTGCACCCCCTGTGAATGGACGTCTAAATGGTGCAGGCAACACTGTCTGAGGAGCATTCATCGCAGGTTGAGAGGTGGGATGCAGCGAGTACGGCAGTGTAGAAAATTGGATGGTTGTAGGTAACATAGTTCCAGATGGTTCGCTCCTGTGTTCGAGTTCATTGAACTCAGAGTCGGCCTGCTGATCTAGTGATGGCCATCCAGCCATCGGATGGAATGATGTGGGCACTGCCTATACCGATGTTCTTATGTAAAGTCGAACTACTGTACTACTGTGATAACATCGGCTATTGGATGATTTAGAGCTGTATAAATCCGAGTCAAAAAGGATAGATATAAGCATCGCTGGTGCATGGTGCACGCTGCCCTAAAATTTGAACATTTGAGCATGCAGGGGATGTCAGGCAGATCGAGGTTCGACTGCATGCGCCGGCGGGAGCTCATTTTTTCTTCTTCTATTTGCCTTCGCGCTTCCTCATCACATTTTCGTTTACTACAGAGGCCTAGATATTATATCGACAAATTTATTGGGAGACATGTAAGGGAGGGATCCATCTTAAAGAAATCGACCGACTGTAAACGGTATTGGCCTGGCATTGGCCATTGTGTGACTCACAGTGTGATTTAGAGCAGTATAAATCTTGGTGAAGAAGGACGGGAATAAGCACCGGTGGTGCAAGGTCCACGTCCCCGTTACGTAGGCCTTTGTAGGTAGGTAGGTAGGTAGCATGACACGGCACGGTCCGAATAACGAACACCGGTTTCCAGGAATTATCCCGGTGTACAAAGCAAGCAAAATTAAGTACACCATCGCCCCTGGACCTCCAACTGCTTTCCAAACCAAGCTCGCAGACCCCACAAGTCTCCCTGTGCCCCGCGGTGGAGCCTGGATCACAGCTGGAAGCAACGACATCTTCCCTTACGCAAAGACATCTTCACCTCGACCAATATAACACCTTTCCGAATCTGAAAACTTCGTCAGACCACTAATCGATACACTGGAAATGGAATCGAGTTCTCCAAGGACTTCGCGTGACTCTGTGCCGTCCACTGAGCTTTTACAGAGAGTTGTTGGTGGTACTAGTCGTCTGGAGTGAGCAAATGTGTCCCTTTGAGGTCCATTCCGTCTGTGTACAAGTCCTCGCCGGTGCATGGGGCGGGTGGCAACATTTTTTCTTCTAACTGTTTTCATTGACCCACCTCCTGCGGTAATCCTGCAGATTCGGAGGGTCCTCTTTCTCGGTATGCTCGTATTACCGGAATATCAAAATGAAGCAAAGTCTCGTGGAGGCATTATTGATGTTTGATGTAGAAAAATTGGGTATGTACTGCGCAGGTAGCGCTTCGGCCTGAATTTAATTTGGCCATCGTGCGAAACAGTGTGATTTAGAGTTGTATAAATGAGGGTCAGGAAGGATCGATATAAGCACCGGTGGTGCATGGTGCATTCCTCATTCAATTTCAAGGATTCATATTAGCCATGATTAAGGTGGTACGGGGTTCGATTCACCGCCGGTGCCAGTTGCAGGAAGCTTATTTTTTTTCTAGCTATATTTTTGTGCTCGGCAAGATATATTAGGGACAGTCAGAGTAAGCGTTTCAGATGTGCTTCACGCAAGGGTTTCGAAAGCGCTTCACAATTTATTAAAGCGTGGGAGAAACCCTTTTAAATCGAAACACTTCTGAAACGCCGAAGCGCCTCTGGAGGCGCTTCACAGCGCTTCAGAAATGTGCTTCAGAGATTTTATTTTGTTCTTCAAAACCCTCATCCTAAGTATATTCGCAAGTAAATAAAAATAATTGCCTTCATGAATTTATTTATACATTACTGCTCATCTCGACCTGATGGTTGCCCATCAGCTTCTTTGACACCGTCTCCTGCGCATCACTGTCGTCGGTATCTCCGCCCCTCTTACGCATCACCGCCCCATCAATCTGCTCACTGTTGTCCCGCCCTTTGCCCTCCCGCCCCCGGAAAGTCATGGAACTTTGTGAAAATAATAGGGTAGGCCTATATTAGTGTTACGAATATCATTGCATCAAGTGCCGCACATCACCGCCCCATCAATCTGCTGTTGTTGTCCCGCCTTTGCCCTCCCGCCCCTCATGGAAATTCGTGAAAATGATAAGGTACGTGTTACAAATATGATTACATCAAAGCGCCTTTGCCTTCACCGTATTGATGTGGCGATCATCGCTGCTGTCATCACCATTCTCACCACTGTCACCGCGCCTTCCGCGCGATGGTGGGCGCCGCCGTGCGCCTTGCTCTGGAGGAGGGCGCATTGGGTTTCTCACACTACAGACGTATAGATATACCGCCTCAAATATTTTGGAGGGCATGCCGCCCTTATTAGCCGCGGGACAGCGTGCACACAGGGCAGACAGCGCATCACATACTGCGTCGGGGCGATGTGTGACATGGCGCACAAGGCGCTTCAATACAATCATGATCCTATTTATTGTATCAGTGCACGCCAAAAATCTGGTGATTTTACGGCTATTATTGAAGGCAGGACGGCGGTGGGCGGGACATTTGATGGGGTGATGGCATCGACAGGGGCGGCGGTGGGGCGACGGACAGCCATGATGGACAGCGATCAGGTACGTGATTGATTGCATCGGCGGTCTCAAAGGGTGGAATTTTCTCAGACGTGTGCGATCATTTCCCGCCGTCCCGCCATCAAAGGTGGGCGCATGTTCCTAACATTTGTGTTGTCGGCAAGTGTTGAGCAACGCCCTCAATTCACTTTACAAGGAACTTAATTCGGCGCACATCATACTTGGATTTTTTTTATCAGCCGAATCACATCTGAAGCGCAATTTGAAAAGGGACGGTCAGACTCAGAAGTGTTTCTCACACGCTTCTGATGCTAAATTAATTCCAGAAACACATCTGAAACGCCTAATTAAAAATGCCTGAAGCACATCTGAAACGCCTACTCTGACTGTCCCTATTGGTTGTGTCTTATCCCGGGGACCTATTGGCAGATGTCCGGGGAGGTAGTGATGTCGTTGAAGAAATGAGGCACTGCCTAAGCCGATGTCAATTCGACTTTAAGCTTTAAGGACTTGATGTTGAAATTATACTGTGATGGTATTGGCCATTGGGTGATTAAGAGCTGTACAAATCAAAGTCAGGAAGGATGGATATAAGCACCGGTGGTGTGTGGTGCACGCTGCCACCAAATAAATAATGCTCCGCGTCGCAGGCAGGCTGAGGTTCGACTCCCGATCGGTGCTTGTTGGAATACCCACCCATTTTTGTTTATTTTTTTGTTTATTTTACAGCGAGTGAGTGAAAAAAGCGGCGGCCATCCCTCCCATCACCTCCACTTCACCCTCGGTGTTGAGCTTTTGGCACCGGTTCAACGTGTGAATTAGAGCTGTATGAAAAAGGGATGAAAATAAGCGTCGGTGGTGCAAGGTGCACACTGCTCTCGAATAATTGTGGATTGATTATAGATGTCGAGTTTAGCGGCGTGGGGTTAGATTCCCCACTGGTGCATGGGGTGTTGAGTCATCTTTTTTCTTCTTTTGGCTGTAAGTTTCATCTCCTTTGGACCAGGATGTTGTACGATATATCATTAGGAACGTGTCGGGAACTTGAAGTAGAAATCAACCGACTGTAAAACGACATTGACCATCGTGTGAATCACACAATGGTCCATGGTGTGATTGAGAGCAGTAGAAATTAGGGTCAGGAAGGAGGGGAATAAGCACCGGTAGTGCATGGTGCACGCTTTAAATCACTGTGATCGAGGAGACGCGTTTCAGGCAGATCGGGATTCGATTCCCCACTGGTGCATGCGACGCTGACGAGGTTATTTTTTTTTTCCACTTCATTCATATCTCCCAGCAAGTCCGCTAAGAGGCACAAATCCGCTTGCAGATGGGATGCCTAAATAGTGCCACGAAGTAATTATCCTTGATGTCGAAATTTTGGCACTGCCAGAGATTTTTCTTTCTTCAAGCCACAGATTTTTTCCAACCCATGATATGGCTAGGACGACTGGGAAATCGAAGGCAGTGTAGAGCACAGGTGAGAAGGGAAAGAATGAGCACTGGTGGTGCCTGGTGCACGCTGCCATTAAATGCGGGGTAAGACAACCGAGTCAGGCAGACTGGGGTTCGATTCCCTGCCGGTGCATGGTGGGGCTCTCAGCGTTTTTTTTCCCAAACGTTTTTCACACCTCATTAGCACACTCTTGTCTTGATCGGGGACCTAGATATTATATCGACGAATTATTGGGAACATGTCGTGGAGGCATTTTGATGTGGTTGAAGAATCGGGCATCCTTAGGCTGGCTGTAGTTTGTAATGGAAATGGCCATTGAGGGATTTAGAACCGTATAGATCAGGGTCAAGGAAGAAGGGAATGAGCACCGGTTGTGCATGGTGCACGCTGCCATTAAATGGGGTCAGAGAAAGGGTTCAGGAAACTGGGGTTCGATTCCCTACTGGTGCATACGGTGGCTGACGACGGGGGGTTTTTTTTTTCACGTCATTCATATCTCCCAGCAAGGCTGCTAGGAGGCACAACTCCGCTTGTAGATGGGATACCCAAATGGTGCCAGAAAATAATTATCCTCGATGCTGAAAAGAAATCTGATGGTATTGATTATTTGCCCTAGGCAATTGAGGGCGGTGTAAAGCACGGTTGCGAAGTGAGGGAATGAGGCGCCGGTGGTGCGTGGTGCACGCTGTTGTTAAATATGAGGATGCGCTAGCCAATTTCAGGAAGACGGGGTTCGACTCCCCACCGGTGCATTATTTGGAAGATCCAGCCCTTTTTTATTATTTATTTATTCATTTTACAGCGAGTGACTGAAAAAGGCTGCGGAAATCCCTCCCACCATCCAAGTGCTCTACTCCCACCCTCGATGTTGAACTTCTGGCAATGATTCAACCATTATATTGCCGAGCTGTGTAATGGAGGGCAGTGTACAGTACGGGTGAGAATAGAGAGAAGAAGCACCGGAAGTGCGTGGTGCACGCTGCCCTCCAATAACTGTTTTCACGCTTCGTTAGAACATTTTTGTTTGCTACGGGGACCTAAAGATTATAATGACAGATTATTGAGAACGTGGCGGGAGGGATTCAACTTGAAGAAAATCAACCGACTGTAAAATGGTATTGACCATCGTGTGAATCACACAATGCCACAGTACAATGGGCCACAATGTGATTTAGAGCTGTATAAGTAAGGATGGAAATAAACACCGGTGGTGCGTGGTGCACGCTGCCATTAAATATTCCGAAAATGTGAACCAGTTTCAGGCAGATCGGGGTTCAATTCCCCACCGGTGCATTATCGTCTACTATGACTACTCTTTTTTTTCCTAATGTTGCTCGATGTTCACACTGCCTAGACACATACTCAATATTGGCCAGTTACACCGTTTCATGTCGCTCGGAGGTGGAATCAGTTTGTCTATGGGCCGCCGCCCAAATCGTACAGACAAAAATTATCCTCGATGTTGAAAACCTAATGGTATTGATGGTTTGCCTATGCAAATCAAGGCGGTGTAAAGCTTTGTCAAGAAGGGAGGGAATGAGCGCCGGTGGTACGTGGAGCACGCTGCCATTAAATAACCCAGGAGGTCCCGACCCAGTTTCAGGCAGACCGGGGTTCGATTCCCCGCCAGTGCATGCATATCAGTTGTATCACCTTATCTTTTTTTTTCGTTCATTTCACAATGGCCATTTTTTCTTTTGTTCATTTCATAATGACTGCGGAATTCCCATCCACCATGCTTCAACCGCTTTGTAATTATCTACCGCTTTGACCACACCGCCCCCGGCTTCTCCCGAACACCGCCACGCCGCGCAGCTTCCTCGTCTCGTTTCCGCCATGGCCTCCTCCGGGCTCTCCTGCCGACGCGCCACCGCCCCGACAACCACCGCACACGACGACGACGACGACGACGACGACGCTCGGACCTCCCCCACCCCGTCCCCCCAAAAATCGCACACTCCTACATCTTTGCCTCCGCGGCGCCGCAAGTATAACCCTGGGGACAGTGTATTGCGTGTTATTCTAATTCTGTAACTGTGTTCGCGTCCTCAGATGCTTACCAAGTCATTGGCCGGTCGTATGCGCTGTATGCCGAAGACCGTGTGCGCATACTCATGATCAGCGCTGACCCAGGGCTCATCCGATAATGCTTGATGCCCATCATGTCTCGGCTCCGTGTCCCGTACATGCGGCTGCCCGGACGATAGTGCCCTCGCCAATGAGCGTGCGACCACGCTCGGCGCTCGTGGAGGGCCGTACTGCGCGCGGGGACTCGTTCCCAATTCGCATCTTTGTTTTATTTCATTCACGTTTTCTTTTTATGAACAGGACGTGCTCTACTCTGCGCGCCATCTCTACGCTGCGTCGCTCCTCTTTCTTCATCCCGATCTTTCTCTCCACTCCTCCTTTTTCAATCCTCGTTTGTACCTTCTTTATACCTCGAGGAGTCGAGGCACGGGGCTCCGAGCGCTCCATGCAAGGTGGGATGCGGACCTGCGGGAGTGTCCGTGTCGGAGCGTCCGTATATGCACAGTGGCACGTTGGTGACCCGAAGAGCGACCGCCGCTCGTATCACGTGTCTTGTGCAGGGCGCACCACGCCGATGCATGGGGATAAAGGCTCCGTCTAGGCTAGCGAGGACGTACGCACGCGTGAAAGACGCTCTCGCCTCATCGTCCTGCGTCGTCGTCTCGCCGCCTACTCGTGCTCGTCGTTCTGGTCACGGCGGCCTCCTGCTCGTGGTGCTACTTCTGCTGATCCCGCCGCTCGTGTTCGTTCTGGTCGCGGCGAGGCGGGGAGGGGAGCCCACGTCGTAGAGGGCACCGGCGTCGGCGAGTCTTGCTTGGTCGACGGGAGCGCGCGTGGGCAGTGGAGGACGCGGGACGGAGTGTGAGGCGGGCGGTATGTGCATGCGGGCGTGTGTGCGCGCTTGTATGGTGGCGCGAGAGCCTCGTCTACGTGCGAGATGCTCTCGTCTACGCGCGGGGAACGCCAGCCTGGGGTCGTGTGTCCGTGCGGTGAGCGGTGGTGTGTATTCCGCCGTGCTGTGCCCAGCCGGAAGTGGATGGGTGCGCTCGCGCGCCGCTCGCTCGCTTCGAGGGGCAGGCGTGGATGATCTGCGAATGAGGTCGGAGGCCCCCCCCGCGAGAACGTGCGTGGACATGGCTGTTCCTTGCTGAGCTATCGGTTCGTATCCTGAGAGAGTTGTACCCGGAGGGGGCAAGCGGGAGGGGTACGACGACATTGGGACGGATGCCGTCCGGGACGTGCTCGTGTTCCCGCTCATGATCGTGCCCATGCTCAAGATGCTGCTACCGCGTGACGTGCCTTGGGCGTCCATGCGCCCTCTACCCGCGCGCTGCCCTGCCCGCAGGCGTCGTGCGCTCGTGCGCGTGCTCTACCTGGACGACGGTATGTGCTTATTACTCCCGCAGCTTCCGTCTCCTCTTTCCACTTCCCACCCTATCGTCACTTTCTCAATCATACCCTCCTCTCCTTCGGCGCCTCATCTCCCCGGCTCGCACTGCTACCAACTCCATCCTCTCATTCGGTGCCGTTTTACCCCCTCTTTTAGGGTGTAACGCCGCTCTTGATTCCACCCCCCTTTGCTATGTTCGTTCCCCGCTACTTATTTCCTCTTTGCGTTCCATGCGCACGATCGCGCGCGCTGGCTTCTTCACAGAACATGCGTAGATGCGTTTTGAGCCTCACCCACGGCCATTTGCGTCAGAATCTCTTCCCCCAGCTATCGACGCACGCTGCAATTTCAGCGCTTTGAGGCCATCGCATCGGCCGCTTTTTTTCGTTCCTCATCCCGTTTTCCATCGATCCCCGTGTCGTACACACTCCTCGCCGTTAACCTCTTTGTATTCCGACGTCCTACTCCGTTCGCCTTCGCCCACCCGCTTATTTCATTTCCTCCCTTGTCTTCTTCGCACCCTCGCTCACACAGTATCCTTGCAGCCATCGCCGACCCGTCCTCCCGCCCTATACGAACCACAGCAGCTATGCTCAGACAAGCAATTCTACTGTGCGCACTTTCCTCTGCCTCCGTTCTTTCCATCATCCCATCCTGGTCTCATTCCCGCATTCCATCTTGTTTGGAATATATTATGTTCCTGCACGCCGCAAACTGAATCCGTGCGGGTCGAGTAATGCATTCACCTTGACTTTCTAGTTCTGTCTACGCCCAATGTATGTATCAAAATTCGCCAGACCAGGCCACGCATCACGGTCATCGGCTTACCTACTCGGTTGCCCTCACCGTGTGTTCATTTCAGGTCATGTCCCCAACCTCCGACATAAGCATGAATCTCCTTACTTGACATGTTTGACCTAGTGTTTTTTATTTTATTTTGTAATGCCTCATTCAACTGCGTGCATATTCCCACGGTGCCGCCGATGGTTTCAAGAATGGTATGTGTTCTTGATTTCCAACCACTTCCCCATCTGGACTTACAATGCTCCAGTTGAGACTATTAACCGCGCGACTAGTGCTCGATGTAACTGTAAGTCGTCTTCAATTTCGGGACCTACCGCACACTGGCACTTGTGAACATTCGAAATGACATCTAGCAGTTGGGCATGGTAGGTTGCTCCAGAAACCTTGCTCATTATGAGCCAAGTCGGCCATATAATGGTACCAGTTTGTGCATACTCCTCGTGTTCGAATTTCAACATGCTGTTGACACACCGTAGCTCTCTATTGGCCTGAATTTACCCCGTGCTCTCATCATGTGCGCTGTATAGCTTCGAATTCGCCTCCTATTCGGCACCCGCGCATTCTTCGTGTTCACTGCAACTATACGGTTGGAACTATATACATATACATACTCGTTCGTCATCTGCATCGTCGTCCATCTTATGTGGGAAGAGTCACCGGGACGAATGAGCCTGGCCATTGCCATGGTCCGGTAAGGAAATGCAATGTCAATGGACTTGAGGACGTACCAACGGAACCGGAAAAGCAGGCTCCCTGTCCCAATTGCTCACCGAGGCTGTTCTGGCAGTTACTAACCCATCGAAAAGAATCAGTTCTCCGAGCCAAAGTTATTTTCTGCGCCTCGGACGTACTTGTCGGAAAACAGATTAACTGTAAACGGGTGTCAGCTACTTGGTATGCTGAGATTTTAGTATGAATAATGCAACTTTTATTTTATTGTTTCTCCCCGCCGGAGGGAAGCGAAGGCATATCTTGTCTTGTATTGAAACAATAAAATTCTTCTAGACCTTTTTCCTACCACCTACTCAAATTCTTTGTCGCCTCATTCACCATTTCCTGACTGTGTTCTGCGCTTGTAATTCCTGGGCATCAATTTTTCCTTGCAGCACCTTCCGAATATTCATGCTTGGGCATTTCACCCCCCTCTTTCTGCCATCTTTCCCTGCCATCTTCTACACCCTTACGTACCGTGCCTCTCCTCACCCTTTTCTGATTATGACAATTCTTC